TGGATCTTATTACAGTATAAATTCCACCAACTATCGAGAAAAAATAATTTCAGAAAAAGTTTTTGGGACCACCTTTTATTTTTTTTTTATTTTGACCCATTAATTAATCTACCTATTTATCAAGATAGTCATTCTCTTACGTACTTTTATTTGCAACTTCCCATGCAATTTCGAACAATAAAGGATTACGAACATCATGATGAACCATTTTTTATATTGTATTACTTGGTCGTCAAAAGAAAAAAGAAAAGAAAAAAAAATATATTGAGCGGGGGGTGATGATGAAAGTTTTAGTTGGCTTTATATACTTGTGAGATAATGGTTAGTATGATGGCGTGGTGTTCATTTATTAAAAGTTCCATGAAAAATTTAAAATTTAAATCACGTCAATGTATATATATATCTTGATGTAAATTAGTTGTGTAAGGAGGACTATATTAAAATGCAAGCCATTTTACCAAAATTAGGATGAAGTGTAAAGGACACATGCAAAGCATACCGCCACCAAAAATGATTTTTCTTTTTACTTATTAAATTAAAAAAAAAGACTTTACGCAGTATAATCGTTATCGGTTGAAATCAAATTTTTTTCGGATCGGATAAGCAAATAGAAAGGGTAAAACCGCTTTTTGCAAAAATTCGTGGGAAATCTTCGATCACATAAAAAGTAAAAAGGCACCTTATTAGATGAGCAAAGCATGACATCATGACTATCTTTGTCCATCCTATCAGGGAATTTGCATTTTAATTGTCTAAATTTGTCGACTTTTTAATATTTTTTTTTTTTTTTTAAATACAATCTGGATTTTGAGATATACATCTTAATAAAGATAATGGAAGTAGGCCATAAATGGTAATAATTTATAATTAAACAACCTAATTGCTTATATCATGGTTTGGGTAATCTAAATAGATTACGAGAATATCGTATGTTCTTAATCAAAGAATCAAAAAAAAAAAAAAAAAAAAAAAAAATTCCGCATTTTTAAATTTTTTTTTTTTTTTTTTTTTTTCTTATGCTTATCGTTATGCTTATTTACGTTGAGGAGTTATTTGAATTAAGACCCATAAACTCATAAGTTTCCGGGTATATTTCCGCCTGCAGAATGCCAGCCAAGGCGACGAGCATACATAATGGAGTAGTGATATTTGTGAGAAAGAAAAATGATTTGCTGATATGTGGTTGTTTAAATAATCTATAATGAAGAAAGGCAAGCATAATTAAAGATACACCATAACATAGGAACGTATAAATACACGTGAAATTTAATATTCTCATCTGTCGAAATAGAAGGAAAAAAGAAAAAAGTATTAGCGGGGGTGGAATGAAGAAGTAGATGATGATGATGATAAATCTTTACCTTTCTTATGTTTTGACTTATCCTTAAATTTTGCCATTCATTTTTCGTTAACTTTCTACTACTATTTCCTTCCGAATTAAAAGTTTCGCTCCTCACGTATTCACCATGAACATTGTACTCATCCAACTTGATGCTATCCTTACCTGTGATTACGCTATTGAGATTGCATACATTTTCTTCATCATCACCACCGGCCAACGTAAAACTATTTTTGGTTAACTCGACCAACTTTTTGCCATAATAAGCTGCGGTCAGCACAAAACATAAATGCACCAAACCGTAACCGACCCAATGAAAACCAAATATCAAGCAAAGGAATTTTGATGGGGTGTGCGGTGGAATGTGAAGTCTCGCAATACCTGTCAATATCGCAAAGGTTTGAGAGTACAATATATGTATGAAGGAAAACTTCCAATAAATACTTGTGATTTGCGATTCTTTGAGTAAAAAGATTGTGGGCGTGTTTTGATTGGAGAATCTGTAAAAGGACATCTTTGGAAGGGTTCTGAATATACCCGTCAAATACGTGGCTATCGTTAGATCACCCGGAAACCAACTGAAGTCATAAATAACCTCTCTCAATATGGGATTGCTCGAAAACCAATCCATTTGTTGAACAATATTCGTAAATGCACGTGCGGCGCCGAATATGACGATTCCCAATAAGTAACCTTCTAATGGTGAAAAGCATCGTTCCTTCCAAATTCGACCCTTACGCACTATGATTCTAAATGCTAGTAACGCTGCTGCACCAACCGTTACTATTAAATAAAGTACGTCGGAGCATATGTAAAACGCTTGTAATGCTGGATCATAGTTACAATTCGTTATTGAATATCCCCATCTGTAAATGATCGAAAACAGTTAAAAAAAAAAAGATTAACAAATAAAAATATATATAAATATATATATATATATTTTTTTTTTGCTTACTCGCACTCTGGTAGATTGACGTTATCGGACATAGATTTCCTTCTCTCTTTTTTTTTTTTTTTCTATTTTTTATTTCATTAAATTTATAATTTTTTTTTTCTTTTCCAAATTTTATGAATAAATTTTTTTTTTTTTTTTTTTTGAATTTACATTCCTTTATATATAAACAAATTTGTTTTCTTCTCTTTTCGTTTGATTAATTTGATACCATTTTATGTAATAACCTGAAATTTATCAAAAGGAATATGCCGCAGCGTACAGAATAAATTAGGCACCCATTATAGCATATTGTTTGTTCACGGCATTTTTTGGATCTCATTTTCTATAAATCATATCATGAAATTCTATACTTCTTATGCTTTAATTAATTTTGTAATCGACAGATTTGATTGGTAAAATGACTAAAATAGAAGTTCACTTCTTAGAATCAGAAAAAGATAAAAAAAAAATATAAATATATATATATTTCTCGTTTATTTTCATACCGGTAATTTTTTGGGAAATTAATTTTTCGGTAATGTCCGACCAAACAAAAAAAAAAGATGATCTACCCTGCATGATAATTCATTTAACTATAACCATAAATGGGTGAAAAGCGTTTTCCCGACCGCCTAATGGTTTGAATTCCGTATTTATTTGTTTTAATTTTAATATTTTTGGATCTCGGGCCGCTAATTCTCCAAAAAATTATAACCAAATCCAAACTAAATCTATTGTAAAGATTTGTTTATTATTGTTTTATTGTTGTGGTGGTGGTGGTGGGTGGTAGTTGATGTTGTCGTTGTTATTGTCGCGAAAAGGGTGTTTGTTTTGATTATGTTTATTTATAATTAAATGAATATTCAATTTTTGTTTAATTTAATTTTTTTTTTTTTTTTTCTAATAGATAAAGGAATTTTAGAAGTTTAGAATCTGTTCATATGGTTTACACAGAAAAAACAAAAAAAAAAAAAAATATAAATTTTTTCTCATTGATAATGTATTACAAAGATTATTAGTGAAAAATTTTTTAAATTAAAAATACAAGCCACATTTTCATAAAACACAAACAGAGCATATGATCAAAATAAAGATATGATTGGTATTCATGAGCTTCATCTAAAGCATTACAATCTGATTTCCATTTAAAGTAATATAACAAGGCACCGTACCGGGCTGAAACATAATTTGTCTCAAACATTCACGACTATAGCTTTGTCAATAATTTGATCGTAATCTCATGTAATGCATGCATTTACTTCATTAAATTAATAATAAACAAACACATCGGGCTATCATTAAAGAGAGTAAACTCTCTCATTCTATAACTGTATTGATTAGAAGGGATCCATTGTTCATGTGTGTGTTTAGATTTGAATCGTGATTCTTAATCATTTTGATTTTTGAAACCAATCCCCCAGAAAAAAGTATTTTGGCCCCATCTTTTACCGTTGAAAGCGAATGAAAATTTTGCAAAAAATAAAATGTTTTGGTAAATATTCATTTACCTCTTGCAGATCAAAAAGAACAACAAATAAACCAGTGCCAATTTGGAATTCTGCAAATGCACCTATAACAACCCAGATTTTCACAACGCGCTTGAATCGTTGTTAACATGTATTTTGTGTTTTCCACTTTTATTGATTGAACCGTTGGGATGGAAAAAAAAGCTCAAATCTTCGGTCACCATTAAAAGTTAAATTACATTGAAATTTTTTTTCTTATCGCATTATTGGTATCACCTACGAATAGGCCCTAAAAGGGAAAATCACTTCAATAAATGGAAATTTTTATGCCTTATCAGAAACAGAAATATATGTTGGAGGTTTATATTTTGGGGTATTTGGCATTTTTTGAATGACATTGATAAAAGACTTTGGGTGGAACATTCCAAGTAAAATAAGATCGATATCACTTTATTAATTTTGAGTTAGAATGTAGCTTATTACCATACTTTTTGGTCTTATTAAAAAACTTAAAAATTTTGTTTGTAGATGATTATATAATATCGAATAATTAAGAGTTTTTTTTTTTTTTTTTTTTTTTTTTCCTAATATTTTTTTAAGGAGAAATGAGATACTATATGAATAATTAAGAGAATTTTTTTTTTTTTTTTTCCCAATATTTTTTAAAGAGAAAAGAGATACTATATATATATAGAAAATTGAATAATTAAGAGTTTTTTTTTTTTTCCTAATAAATTTTAAAGAGAAAAAGAGATATTATATATAGAAAATTGAATAATTAAGAGTGTTTTTTTTTTCCTAATATTTTTAAAGAGAAAATAGATACTATATATAGAAAATTTCTTTTTTTTTTTTATTATTATTAAAATTAAATGAAATAAATGAAGAAATATAATAATGATGTGTAATAATAAATGTTCAAATTTAAAACTGATTCAATGTTCTAACTTTTGATCTACATTCGTCATTGATTGATCTTCTTCTCTTCGTTTTACATTTTTTACATTTCGTTTTAACGAATATCCAATTATTATGCAATTTATACTTTATTTTTGATCCTAAAGTGCTCATGAAACCAAAACATCCATTGGTAAATTCATCTGTTTCTTCATAAACTTCTGAACGACGTTTAAACAAATTATTGGGTCGCGAATTCGAAAATATTGATGAGAATGATGAGAACGTATTTGATTTAGATCTGTTATTTTTGGAGTTGCTTGATAATGGAATCGGATCGTCGTTTTGAGGAGTGTGAAAAAATGTTGACTGATCCATTGGTGATTCCGAATAAATATTTTTGAATGGGAATGGATTGGAGAATGAAGTTATGAGTTTTGGTCGATATAATTGTTGTGAATTTTGAGCGTTAATGATGGTTGGTGACATTTTTTTTTCTTTCCTTTTTTTTTTTTTTTTTTACCAGGAAGGGATGGTTATTTTGAAATGTCATATCAAGTCATTCAGGACGGGACGTATTTATATTTAATTTTGATGTAATGACGTATTTTTTTTTTTTCTGATCGAAATTCTCTCTAGAATTCCCCACCACTTTTAATGAAAGGGATTGACCTTACCTCTTTCAAAAATAAAAAGTAAACATAAATTTAAAAAACGCCTTTTGTTTGAACTATAAATAGGTTAGTTAATCAATTACCTGATTTTGTTCGGGTTTGTAAATCAAAAAAAAAAGGGGGGGAGGGTGGTTATTAATTAACAAATCTCCTGTTCCTTCTGTTTAAATCACTAAGAAAGTTTGGCGTAGTTCAATGATCGCAATTGTCACAAAGAGCCCATATAAGGAAGGATCTATCAGTTGCTTTACCCGAAATTTCAATGAATGGGTTCCCGTGGAACTTTTGATTCTTTCTTGATGTGGTTTAAGCTCAAAAAATTAAATTCGGAAATGCCCTCTCTGTCTCTCCTTTTTGATCACAAGTTCCATTTTGTCATCGTGAGGAAGCTAATAAATACAAATTAGGTGATCTCGCGATCAAAATCTTTGGCGTTTTGTCAATCTCCTTTTACCCTTTTCGTACAAATATAAAATTTTTCCGAGTGACCACCTTTTCTTATGACAAAAGACGTCAATATACATGGAATCTTTCGTTGACCGCAGTAAACAGGGTATGTAACAAATCAAGTAATTAATTCATGAAATAAGGCTAAATTTGGCAATCAAATGCGGACCGGATTACAATCAATCTTTAAAAATTTTTTTTAAAAAAAAAAAACCAATACTAATTTAACTAAACTAATTACTTTCATTCATTTTCGGAATTTCTAAGTAAGTGATTTACAAATTTACAATAAATTTCCCCTTAAATATCATTGCATTAATGTTTTGTTTAAATCTTTTTTTTTTTTTTTTTTTTTTTTTTTTTATAAAAGGAACATTGAATTCGTGTTCCCTTTCAAATCAAAAAAAAAAAATTAACTTTAACAAAGCCTGCCGTTAAAATAGAAAATTCGAATCATAACGATAATTTCACCGTTAAATCTAAAATGTTTATACTACTTTCGGTTCTTGCCGGGTGTGGGGTCATTGCTATTCTAATTGGCGGTATAAGAATCATTGCCGGAGCATTTGAACGAAAACGAAGTTAATACTTTGGTATTTATCTTCAAAAAAAAAATCAATTTTTTTTTAAAAATAAAAAATAAAATGCCTTTTGCTAATATCCCTCACCTTCTTCAGAACTGTTCATTTGAATTATCGGAAATTTTGCTTTGCAAACAAGTCTTAAATTATTAATAATATCCCTTTAAAAAATTTTGCATTGATTTTCAATTTTCATTTATTATATAAGACACAGCTAAGAAATAGAATTAATTCACTTGTATATAGTCATATTTTTTTAAAAAATTTAATCAAAAACCTTCATAATTTTTTTTTTTTTTTTGCTGTTTCTTTATCTATCAATTAGGTTAGAAAGGTTATCAACTAATGTTATCAACTAATACAGTCAACCCTCTCTACAATCACACCTTATATAATCACACCCTCTTTATAAGCACACTATATTTTAGTTCTGAT